CCAAAATGCTGTCCTTACCGAATGAAGTTATGGATAATTTGTCTCTTCTTTATACATTTTTGGGTTTCCCAAATTTTCCCAACAGAACATATAATTTATTTTATTTATTTATTTTATTTTTTGACAGGCAGAGTAGATAGTGAGAGAGAGAGACAAAGGAAGACCTTTCTCTCTGTCTCTCTCTCTCACTGTCCACTCTGCCTGTCAAAAAAAAAAAAAAAAAAATACAACATTACAAAGAAATGTCACTAAGTGGTTTAGGTTGGGTGTCTACTGCGGTTGGCTTCCCGGCATTCATATCAATCCAACTGACTGGTCTGAACCAGCCATAGTCTTCCTAATCCCCTTTGTGGGGAGCAACTCGGACTAGACTAAGTTACTGGAATTAAGACTCATTCTATGCATCTGCTCTCCCACAATATGGCACTGGGAGAGGAGAAAACAGCTTCTACACAGCTGCCTCCAGTTCAGCCAATAAACTGTAGGACTTACTCCTGATTGGAGAGCAGCGTGCTCGGCGTGTGGGCAGCCGAGTTGGGATTGGTGAAAGAGGACTATAAAGGAGGAGAGGGACGGCATGCACCAGGAACATCTAAGGGGAACATCTATCTGGAGGAACACCTGTGCAGCCCCCGAGAGAGCCGGCCGGCGGTGTGCCGCTCCCCCGCAGAAGTGGGGAATGTGGCAGGGGGAACTGCCCTTCCACGGAGGTGGAAGGGACAGTAGCCAACCCGGGAAGAACCAGCAGCAAACCCGGGGAGGGCCGAGCAGACAAAAGAACAGCGCAGGGTCCTGTGTCGTTCCTCCACGAAGAGGGGGAGCGACACCCTTGTCAGTGTTGAGTTTGGAACTGGGCATGTGACTCAGCTCTGGCCAATATGACACAAGGGGCAATCTAATGTGTGCAGGAAAGGGCGTTCCAAGAAATAACCAGAGATGTAGCCTCATCTCTTCCTCCAAACACTACACATTTTCAGATGATGCCGCCAGTCTGAGTCAGTAGAAACACAGAGAACTAGAACTAGAGCCTAGACACACCCTGACTGGGACCCAACTACCTCCAGACTCATCACCACGTGACATAAATTTGAGTTGTCTTTTCTATGACTTACAACCAAAAGCATCCAAATGTTATAGGTGCCTAAATGTATATATTTGGTATGTCCAATGTAATAAGCAAAACCACTTTAGAGACTCCATAGCATACACAGAAGAAGAAAAGTCGGTGCTCTCCCGAATGTCCATCCACAGAGGTTCATCCCTCATTACAGAATTACATCTGACTATTTAACATTACCATGAAGACACACAGAAATACTTCCATCCAAAATGCTAATCCTAAGAATTCTTTCAGAAAACCTTCACACCAATGCTTCCAACTCCACCTCCTTAAATGCTGCAAAAAAAATATATAAGCCAGAAATCAAAAATCCTGAAATCACTCACATCCTTGATGTAGTTCATCTCTTCTTTCAGCTGATTGGTGGACCAGCCGTACACCACCATTTCCTTCTGCTGATTTGGATCGGATCTTCGCACCACACCATAAACGACTCCCTGAGGAAGTTTCCTGGTAGGTTCTGCATTGCTTAGGTCAGGAGGCTAAAAGTAAGTGGCAAAAAGAAAAACAATAATGACTCTTTAGCGTTCATGAAAACAACCTGATAATGGGCCCAATGAGTACGATTATGTAGGTTGTACCCTGCACTGAGCACCTGACAGCAGGGACAGAGGGGAGCAGAAGTCCCGCCTGGTCTCCGCTTACCAAGTTGCTCCTAGCATGTGGCCTCCCTCCTTTTGTCCATCTAGGACTTCTCCCCTACCTCATGGCCCATCTGTGGGGTCCCATCTCTCCAAAGGAGGCACCCTTTTCCGGTTCTCACAAAGGTGCCAGAAGGAATTGCGTGATCCCTGATAACAAAAGCAAGTGCTTGAAACTTCCTACTCTTGGTAATGCTGTTCCCCCTTAGCTCAACTCCTGTGTATGGCTTCAACCTCATAACCCAACATGTGGCATGAAATGCATGAGGTTGAGGTTGGCAATCATCTGACAGCCAAACTGTCCTCTGAGAGCAGAGCTGAGCCTAAGGTCACATTCTGAGCAAAGCAGGGGGAACCAGTACACATCTCGCTGTGATGATTCATGAAATCTTCCAGAAACGTCAGGCAGAGACAGCGTGACTTCTGTCTGAAAGAATCTTCCTGGGACTGCCGGCTGATCCTTAATTCCTTCACTTAAAGCCTTGATGATTGTTGAAATAAACATCCCTTTGAGAAAGGGCAACGTGCCCAATTTGTAATACCGCTTTATAGACTGAAAGCCCAGGTAGTAAGAAAAGGGGAAATTAAGATTTGTTGGGCACTTCCTGTAAGGTAGGAATGTTCCTTAGCACACTTAATGCTCACAACCACTCTGGGGCACAGCAATTGTCCTCTTCACTTCACAGCCAAGAAAACTGAGTCCAGACAGGTTAAGTGGTTCGTTCATGGCCACATATCCAGCTTCAAGTGTTAAGTACATCTCCCCGTATTATAGCTTTTGCTAGGGATGGGCGACAGGATAAGGGCCTCCATGACATGGAAGAGACAGAGGCAAGAGAAAAACCAAGACCAAGGTTTGAGACTTCATAGACAAATCCACCTGCTCCTGCTCTTCCCTGGGGCCAACACTGAAACCTTGGCAACTCCACAGCACAGAAGCCCAGATTCCATACCAGCAACTCTGTCCTCACACCAACCTATCAAACATCTTTGTGTGTCCCATATGTTCACTAAAAAACTTTTTAGCATAAAAAATTTGCATTTCAAAAATCACAACTTATGGCAAAACAGAAGTACTTTGATTCACACCAAATATTCAAAGTTTGTAAAATCAAAGAAAATTCTAGAAAGATACAAGACAAGTCATTAACAGTAGGGCCCTTCAAGGAGGAGACGACCAGAGTGCTGGCAATGTGGCAACTCTCACTTTTCTCATTAACCTCTTCTGTATTGTTTGTTTTTGACAATGACAGCTTTTGAAAAAGGAAGAAAACACATTCATCGCCTCCCACCCTTCTGCACACAGTTGGGTTCGGGACGTGGTATTGTTTCCGGTATATGCTTCCTCTTGTATCCCTTACACCTGGGTCCCACAAGCAACGATCCCACCCCTGAAATGTGTTCCTAACTTTAGGTGGCTGGGCTGTTACATGGTCCTTGATGGAATGACAAGTGGGCATTAAATTATTACCAATTTTACTAGACATATAATTAGGAAGAGGAAAAGCTCCTTTGAAACTGCACATACCAGGAAACAAAAGCACGCTCTTTCAGTCCCGGACTCCACCCAATTCCTGAAAAACAAGCTAATGACCACAGGCTTTGGTGAAATGCTTTTCTGCAAGCAAGGCTATCTGAGGTAGACTGGTTTGCACAGAAAAATAGGTGTCTGAACACAGAGACTCCTCCTCCCAGGCCAGGCCAAGGAATGAGGGAGGAAGACACAAACAAGGCCAAGGACACTGGAACACTGCCCACAAGGTCTCGGATCTCAAAGTCGTACACATGAGCAGATAGCCCAGAGACACTAAATGATAAACAGTGTATTTTGTATTTTCATTTTTTTATTCTAAGAATATTCACTTGTGTGTGTAAAACATCCAGAAAGGTAGAATCCAAACCTTTAATGAGAGTTTTCTCAATAAAATGATATGCACCTTCTCCTTTATACTCTTTTGTACTTTGAATTTAAACTTTTTTTTGTTAAAGATCCAGTATTGAGGGCCAGTGTTACAGTGTAGTGGGTAAAGCCACTGCCTGTGACACCGGCATGGCATGTGGGCACCAGTTGGAGTCCCGGCTACTCTGCTTCCAATCCAGATCCCTACTAATGTACTTGAGAAAGCAGTGGAAGATGGCCCAAGTCCTTGGGTCCCTGCACCTATGAGGGAAACCCATATGAGGCTCCTGGCCTCTGGCTTCAGCTCCAGCTGTTGAGGCCATTTGGAGAGTGATCCAGTGGATGGAAGATTCTCTCTCTCTCTCTCTCTCTCTCTGATTCTGCCTTACATTAAAAAAAAAATCCAATATTATTTTTGAACGGATAATTTGCATTTCCATTGAAAAAAAAAAAAAAAGCTGGGGCCGGGGTTATGGCACAGTGGGTTAAACCACCCCCTGTGATGCCAGCATTCCACATGAGTGCAGGTTGGAGTCCCAGCTGCTCAACTTCCAATCTAGCTCCTTGCTAATGTGCCTAGGAAGGCAACAGAAGATGGCTCAAGTTCTTGGGCCCCTGGCACCCACATGAAAGACCATGGAGTTCGAGGCTCTTGGCTTTGGCCTGGCCCAGCCCTAGCTGTTGTGACCATTTGGGGAGTAAACCGGCAAATGGAAAATCTCACTCTCACCCCCTCTCCCTGGAACTCTACCTTTCAAATCAATAAATTAATTTTTTAAAAGCTAAGACTGAACACTGTTAAAATCTCATGATGTAGATAGAAGACCTCCAGGGAAAGGCCCGGCCCTGGACTGCGCTCAGGAGCAGGGAGCACTCCACAAGGACAGGACTCCTGGGCAGCTGCACCAGCTGCTCGGCTCCAGCAGAGAAAGGAAAGGAACGGTTATGAAGAAAGAGGAGAGGGAAACCTTTACTGTCTAGTGATTTCATTATGTAATTTATTACTTCTCACAATATTCCCACTATGTAAATAGTACTAGTTCTTCCAAAATGGTAGTATTCCAGTGTCTATGTCTTTGCAAATCCAACGTCTTTCTCTAACTATGATGCATCCAAACTAGCTAAGAGTCAGGGACTTGTATCTCCCAGTGGCATCCCAGAGTCTAAAGGGGACAGGGGAGCTGAACCCAGGCCTTGGGTCCTGGGGCCATTTGGAAAAGACAGACCCAAGATGACAAGGGGGGCTCTTCTCCAGGTTCTCCCACAACCCCAGTCCCACCACAGCCACCCTGCCCCCACTCTGCTCTTCTGGCGGCCAGCCCCCTTGAGGCCTGCGGGCACTCACACAGGCTGGCCCCTCCACCTGCGCTGCCAGGCTGAACTGTCCCTCACTGAAGACCATGCCCCTCGCCCTTCACACCACCTCCATAGCACACCCCGCATGACCGAGGGATTATTCATATCCTGCATACGTGAGGCCTGCTCCCCTGTCCACTATGAGCACCACGTTAGGGCCTGCCTGTTGCTATTCAACTGTAACCCCCAGCATCTCAGCACAACGGACTCGCAATGACAGTCTCAATAACTATGTGTGAATGCGTAAGGAGCGTCAGAAGTTAGATGAGGCTCTAGCAAATTCCTGAGAGTCTGTAAGTCTGACCTTACACACTCTGCAGAACACCCTTTGCTCCTCTTGGGTGGAAGGAAACACAGCTGATGTCCACCACACTCACAAGAAGTACATCTGGAAGACTGCAAAGGAGCAGGCATTGCTATCATTTTTACAAAATATAAGTGTGCTTGGGGTCCAAAATTAGAGAATTCAGAAAAAAATGTAAAAAGCTGATATAGTTGGTAATATATGTATGTCTGAATTTTTAATCCTCCTGTGTCCCTTAAAATATCTCCCTGTGAGATAAATATTAAACTTTACACATGATAAAAGCATTGTGATAACACTGAGATATGGTCTTTACTCTTGAGAGAAATATGCTGAAATACTTATGATGGAATTTATTTATTCATTTATATATACATGGTGGAGGAACCGGGGGTGCAGGCATAACAAGACAGGACTGGCCAGGAGCTGAAGGTCACTGTAGCTGCACAAAGGATCAATGAGTCAATGAGTCGTTACACAGTAAGTATCATTTTGCATACACTTGAAACTCTCCATAATATAAATGATTTTTATGAAAAATACTTATTTATTTAGTTATTCATTTATTTGAAAGGTGAAGTGGTAGAGAGAAAGGGAGTGGCAAAGAAACAGATCTTTCATCCACTGGCTGACTCCCTAAATGCCCACAACATCCAGAACTGGACCCAGGCTAAAGCCTAGAATTCCATCTGGGGCTCCCACATGAGTAGCAGGGACCCAAGTACTTGGGCCATCATCTACTACCTCCCAGGATGCAAAAGCAGAAGCTGTATCAGAAGCGGAGTAGCCAGGACTTCACTAGCACTCTGATATGGGATGCCAGCATTGCAAGGAGGCAGACACTTAGCCCACCGTGCTATAACACCTGTCCCAGTAAAATTGGGTTTTAAAACCTCTTTATAATGCTTCTTGGTGTTAAAAAAAAAATCCAAGTAAACCCACACACACACTCTACTAAAAAGTCTCCTGGGCATGAAATAAAAATAGACAAAAATCTCCTTTGAGGGGCCGGTGCTATGGCGCAGCAGGTTAACGCCCTGGCCTGAAATGCCCGCATCCCATATGAGCGTTGGTTCAAAACCCGACTGCTCTACTTCCAATCCAGCTCTCTGCTATGGTCTAAGAAAGCAGTAGAAGATGGCCCAAGTCCTTGCGCTCCTGAACCCATGTGGGAGGTCCAGAAGAAGCTCCTGGCTCCTGGCTTAGGATTGGTGCAGTGCCGGCCATTGCAGCCATTTGGGGAGTGAACCAGTGGATGGAAGACCTTTCTCTCTCCCTCTC